TATACATAATATATAAATAAGGATCAAACGACACTCAGACAAACAATCGGGTACTCTAAGTCCACAACCAAACGAGGAACAGGAAATAATGTGAGTTATCAGTCCTAAGTCCTTCAAACCTTACTTATATCACTATATAAGTTTAGAAAGAAATTTTGTAAAACCTTTTGAAGAGTTTAAATAAATATTGATGACTTGATGTCATTTTATAAAACGATTTAAAAGCAGTTTGGCATATAGAAACAAGTTTGACAAAGAGTTTAACGTGTAAAACAAGTTTGGTAAACAGTTTGAAGTAGTTTGATTGATAAAGCAGTTAAAAGTATATTAAATCCATTTGTTTGATACTTATTAATCACATGTGATTGATATAATAACTATAATGTTTCAACTTGTATCCCCCCCCCCCATAAAAGCATTTAAAATCATTTAAAAGGTACATTAAGGGGTATGAACTCCCCTGTAGTGAGTGGTTTGGATGAATGAGTGGTATAGGATGCTAAGTGTCAAGTGAAGACTTGAGCACACACAAGGATCCTATTTATCATATAATGATACAAATATGCATCAAATTAGAGTTTTAAACAACTAATTATGCAACTAAAGACACCCTAGGACATGGAAAACACTTTGATTCAAGTGCTAGAAGTACTAAGGGTTGCATCTTAGGGTTATAGGGCCTCACATTGGAGTTTACGGCTAACATGGATGTCTCACATGAGTTTACGGCCCAGGGGTAAGCCCCCATGAGTTTACGGCCGTAAACTCATGGTATTTTGTATCAAATTGTGTTTTAAGGTCTTACAAGTCATTAGGAAGTGTTCTAGGTTCAAGTCTAAGCCCTAGGAAGGAGTGGTGGCAAAAATGCACCACTAATTACTGTTTACGGCCCAAGGTGATTGCCTTGGCCGTAAAACCATATTTTCTTAAGTTTATTGATGTTTTCTAAGTGTTTAACAAGTGATTCAAGCATATAACAAGCTAAGAGTAGTGTACTTACTTATAAGAAGCTTGTAAGGGTGTTTAAGGTCCAAGAACACTAGTGTGTGTTCTTGGTGAAATGAAGAACACTTGAAGATCTATCAAAATGAAAGGATTTCATGGATAAAATCATGTACAATCACTAGATAAAGAGATGTAACAACTAATCAAGAGAAAGAATTCTTACATTTTTGGAAGATCGGGATGAAGATCTTATGATACTTGAGAGAGAAATGGGGTTTCTAGCCTTGAAATGGAAGAGAAATGAGGAAAATGATGTAAACTCATGTATTTAACATGAGTTCACGGCCAACTCATGAGTTTACGGCCCAAACATGAAGGTTTGGTCGTAAACTCCTCATAATGGGTTTAAAGCTTGATTTTTGGTACAATGTATTCAAGCAAGATACTTCCTAACACCCGATTCTTGAATATACTAGGCTTAGGGCACTCAAACAGACTCTAAACCGTGCTAAATGATAGCAGAAACAAGTCTGACTTTGATTGAATTGATTGCCTGTACAAGATAGAAATTTCGGGTTGTCACAAAGAAGCACTTGAAGGTACCTATGTCTTTTAAAAAAAGATCACTAAATGACATAAGTTTTCATAAAAAACAAAATGTTTTCATAAAAAAAGATCACTAAATAGCATAAGATTTCCCAAAAAAACAAATTCTATTTTATTAATAATGATGTTATTTTCATAAAAAAAAAAACATGTGATTCCTTTCCAAAAGGAACTATAAATAATAATCATAACATATTCATATAAGCAAAATTAAAATTTGTGAAATTAATAAAATTTATAAATAAGTGATAATGAGATCAGAAGATCGTTAGCATTGCATTTTTAGCATAGTTGACTGATCATGAGATCAGATCTTCATCAAACTGCTAACACTTTTCAGAATACCAAAAATGCCCTTGCCTTTCTTTTGGTTACTATTTCATCAAAACGATATGGTAAGTAGTGACCTTAACATTCACACAACTTTAAATAACACAAATACGACTTATTTTTTGGACAAAATTACTTTTAAATGCTTTATAGTAACAACTTTATAGAAATTAATTTTTTTGTGGAATATGGTTATGAATCATAACATTAATCCTTAGTTAATGGTTAGATAAAAGCTAATTTAATAAAGTTATATGGTAGATAATATTAGTTGATTTGATGCAAATCCGATCATTTATAGGCCTACATTGCATTATTATTGCTTAATTCTTATTAATTTATATGTTATAATTGGGTTTATTCCCATTTTTGACCTTTTGAAAAAATCTTCTAACTTAGAGGATTGCAGGTGTTCTTCTACCAGGGTGGTGTTGAAGGGGGTGTTTCTTTATCTGACGCAATTTCCAAATGCACCCGATTCTTTTTAGGTGAAATTGTTATATTGGGTTATACTCTTGAAGATTGGTTGTCGATCCACAAACAAAATCGATTTCAGTAAATGGGTTAAAGTTACTGGTTAATTCTTATAATCTTTATGGATGTCGGTCCAGACTTTGAAACTTGAAATTTTAGTTTTTTTTTCTTTGTTCACTTTTCTTTTTTTTTTTTAGGTGGAAAGGAGGTAGAAAGGGTACCCAATAGAATTCATATCAGTTGAGCGCTTTTTTGATTTGCTTTTAGAGTTGTTGCTGGTAATTCAACTCCCTTATTTTTTTGTATGTTGCTGTTTATTATATTTAAATGGGTAAAAACCGTCATAGTTCTTGAATGTTTTAGTACCATGACCATTCCTAATGAACTGAGCAGAATTCGTGCTTTGGATAACTTTGGTGTTGTTGGGCTTCAAACACAAATCATCAGAATGGTGACTCTTTTTCCAAACACAAGAAGGCATTACTGGAATATTTTGTAAAATCGAGAAAGTAGTTTTATAACATATTTACATGATGTGAAATATAAAATATGATTTTATTTATTTATCAAGTTATTGTCATTCAGTTTTGCAATTGGACACATTTTTGAATGCCTCATTGATATTGGAATGTAATGACTCATTCCAATTCCATGGTCCAATTTCATCATGTTATTTTTCTAATAACTTTTTATCCAATAGAATTTGCCTCAGTTTCCATTACCCATGCACGAAGTTGTCTAAAGAGGCGTTCCATTTGAATTGAAGATGTTTATAGTAAAAAGTCTTCATGAAAATGTTTATCACAAAGTAAGTTGCTATTTTTTCTTTGTCAAAACTATTGTATGGTATTGATGTCTCTAGAACTAGAACTGCTCCTATGGCAATATTTTAATCAACAAAAAATCAACTACAACACTAGTGGAAAATTGATTATATGTAATTTCCATATTCAAAGTTCAAACACCCCCTTACATCCTTTATTGTTCCATCATTTTTGTAGTGAAGTTATCACACCATAATCTGTCATGGTAAGTTTCAGATGTTTTGTGGTTTGGAAGAACTAATGTGTCACACTGCAGACTTAAACATAGAGCAAAAAAGATTATGAAGATGAAGGACTTCCACCTGGATGGGATAACACATATCAACTAAAAGAAGAAGTGGAGCATATGCTTACACCACAATTGTTTCAGTAATTTCATTAGATGGTGGAATTTGGCATATGTTAACAAAAATAGGGCAATGCACTTTCATTTTAATGTTTAGTTTTCTGTAATTTAGATCATCAAAATACCAATGTACATTCATTTTTTACCGTGTTTGCAAATGGACGAATTGTAGAGAATAGCAACACATTTTATTATGGCTACCAATTAAGGCGATGTACTATAGTTGCACACAAAAGCAACACCTTCCAATCCCCACGACTTGGGGGGAATGCATCTAGTTATTATAAATTTTGTTTTCAATAGTGGATTAAATGGGCATTATAATCTTGTTTGTTATCGTTACATCACACTTGAGACCATATTTAAAGGGGGTGCCGGTATTTTTCTTCTATGTTGTTTTCTCTTTCGTTTTAGTTTGAAACATATGTGTTGACATTTAGCGATTTAGCATTTTTATAATCTTAACATAATCAAAATGGTACTTTAGAGTAATTATGTAGTCTCTAATACATGGAAGCTTGGTGAAACCAATGTGGGGCATTGGAATTTGACTATAACTTATTGATAAAGATATTAAATTTTTTTGGGATTGGATTGTGTATGTGTTTTATTTCAGGGCCAAATGCAGCAAAGTTGTTTGGAATAATAATGGTAGATGGAAATTAAGAGACAATTTCATGAAAAACGAGATTCATCACACCAACAAGGCCACGTAAATCATGAGATACAAGCTACTAAAACAGGAAAAAGAATCTACTAAAACAGGAAAAAGAATGAGAATGAAGATTCTTTCAAGAATGACTAACATTTTCAAGAATGAGATTTTATTCTTATAGAATGGATATTCTTTCAAGAATAACTTACTCTAAAGCATTTTATTCTTTATAATGTGACAAAAGCTTCATGAATGACATTGTATTCTAATAAAATTTGAGTTGTATTCTTATAGAATGGGACTTGTATTTTGCAAAATTTGTATTTTGGCATTCTCATAGAATATCATTTTGTTAGAATTTCATTATGGCAGAAGAAAAAATCAAGTAAAAATAACAATGACATTAGAATTAGAATTGAATCACTACTAGAAAAACAGCCTTTTACGACACTCATTGCGCGTCATAAAAGGCTCAGACGACGTGCAAATGCGCGTCAAGGAAGGCCCTGTCATAAAGAGAGACGACGCTCATTTACGACGCACAATTACGTCGCCCATTTACGACACGCAATGCGTATCAAGGAAGGCCCTGTCATAAAGGAAGACGACACGCATTCGCGTGTCGTAACCTTACGACGCGCGTGTTAATGACACGCAATGCGTATCTAGAAAGCCCCTGTCAAGAAAGGCCATGTCATAAATGAAGATGACACACATTTTTGCGTATCATAATTTTAAATGTTTTAAAAAAAATTATTTTATTGATTTACTAATTTTCAAATTAAATAATACATTAAAAATCTCATAATACAAAATAAAATACCATAAATAACAAAGATAATTCATTTCATGAATATGTCAAATACAAATAATTATTCCAATATTGAGTAATTGTAATAAAAGAAATGAACTCAAGAGAAGTAGAATTTATATACAATCGCATTATCTAGCTTACTATGTACCAACAACTCTCTGTGTGTTTGCTTTTGCTTGAGTCTTGTTTCCTCCAAAGCTTCTAGCCATGCCAAAGTATGAGTCTTGCCTTTGCTTGAGTCTTGTTCATGTCCAAATCAAGTAAAACATTGCTAACTTATATTCATCAAGTCCTTGCCGTGAAGTCTTAGATAGATGCTTAACTGTAATATACAATCCTTCTAGCAGGCCCTAGAGATCAACCTGCCAAAATAGTACACCAAATTAATCAGAAGTTGAGATGCTACCTATAGGACAATCCAAAAACACAGTAAATCCATGGACTTACCGTGGATCAATAATTACATACACCAAAGTAATGAAAACAGATGTTTGTTGGCCACACAACACACATAACAAATGTAGCAGAAATGACACATACCTTCCTGGAACTGAATTGAAGTCACCACAGATGAACATTGGAATATCTGCACTTGCAATTATCTTTTCCAATCCTTTTAACAATGTGTGAACCTTCAATTTTCACATTTATATAGTTTTTAAGTTATTAAACAAGAAGAAAAAGTGTATATATACAAACAACAAGAGATACTTATCTTCTTTGTTGTCATTTCTCTTCGACAAAATCTACACTAAAAGAAATGTGCACATGTATATTAATGTCAAAATTCCTATGAGGGCAAAATGGTCATAATAATTCGGAACAATCTGGAAGAGTATTTTTGTCCGAGTGGAAAGTGAATCTTGATTTATATATATATATATATATATATATATATATATATATATATATATATATACATACACACACACGACACAACACAATATCAATGTATGTCAGTGTGTGTGCTAATAACCGAGAAGCTAAAGAGCTTCCTAACATGGAAGATAACATGAAAGTATAAAAAATGAAACCATGTTGAATGTCTTCACCATTTGGGCTTAAAGCAGGTGTCCATAGAAACATAAAAGTGTACATTGAACCCTTGAATAAAGATTGTATTGCACCCAATAATGCTATCCTTTCATTTGTTTTTACAGAAAAAAAAAAGAAACTATTAGGTCCAAATTTAGAAGGCAGAATGATATGTATGCATAATTACAAGATTGCCACTTTGGATTCTTCATGCTTCTCCTGTATATATATGAGAGAGAGAGAGAGAGAGACCTGATGCAATTGCAATAGCAGCACCCCTGAATTGGGTCATTAGATCTTTTCTTTCTGATGAGTCACCATAATTTTCAGTCCATGATGATATGATGATGGCCATTCCAATGGCAAGAAAGATTGAAGCTGCATCAAATGGAGCAACAGGTCCCCTGGCCAATGAACCAACTAAAAGATTTCCAAATAAACCAGCTAAAATGGCAACCAGTCCATTCCCAAGAAATATTGCCTTGGAGAATGTAATTGATAGCCATTGTTGCTCAAAACCTCTCTACAGATGCATCAAAACAAGAGCATTAGAACCATACACAATATAAAGGGTGTATTTAGAAATGTAATATTATATCTCACCTTGTTGTGTTCAGCAACAAGCCATGATTCGAAGGCTGAAAAGAGGAGAGAGGTGGCAATCCCTCCTAATATATGCCCCACCATTAGAATTCTGGTGAATGCTTGGTGATGCAACTCAAAATGTAGGTTATGCAGTAAGTAATTGAAGCTTTTTTTCCTTCTCCTTCTCCTTCACAACCCCATTTTTAACAAGTTCTTGCTCTTCTAAGGTTGTTTTCTTTGCATTTTGATCCTTAATTTCGACCTTTGATTCAGGTTCCTTTCGAGACAGATCTAGTAAACTTTTCCTCACTACATATTACATAACAAGATTTGTAAGCATCTATCTCACTAACAGTTGAGTAAGGAAAACTGAAATTTGCTTTGTACTTTATTTTTTACCCATAGCAGCAACCTACTTACATACGTACGTCTCTTTACCAATAATAGCAATGTTTTTTATTATTATTTTTTACTTATGATAACACTTATAAGTTATACCTACCATAATAGCAATGTACTTTATTTTTACCCAAAATGGCAATGTTGCATTTTCTACATATATATACGAGCATATTAAGTTATCTACTACATAATACTACTATCTGTAAAGAAAATATAAGTTTGTTGCTACTAAAAACAAGCTATCAAGATTAAAATCCAACATTGCTATATTGTTATTATGGGTACAAATACAGTACAATGCCTATATTGGTAGAAAGAGTATAGTATGTTGTTATTTCCTGCAATATGCCCTTAAAAAGAAGGGGAAAAAGTACAGCAGAAGTACTTGGAGGTCTATTTATGGCCTTTGCAACACGTCAATTTGCTTTTCCATCATCAGAACTACTACTCCCACTTTATGTTTCACTTGAACTCCCAGAGCTCCTAAAGTAAGTCCACTTTTACAAGTTACAAATACAATATTATATGAAAAGAGATTTAAGTTTTATATATATATATATATATATATATATATATATATATATATATATATATATATATATATATATATATCAAAAACAACTATTTGGACCTTCTTTTTGATCTTTTGCCAGACAACCGTCTCTTTTCTTTCCGTTTGTTCTTACGCTGTTTGACTTCTTTCTTTGTTGATCTTTTCTTCCTCCTGTTACCACCAGCAGATGAACTTGAAGAATCGGAATCAGCTTCTGATTCGGACTCCGAATCGGAATCGGAATCACTCTCCGAAGAATAAGAGTCGGAATCTGAATCAGATGGTGAGGACTTCCTTCGTTTCCTCAATTTCTCCCTGATAGTTGATCCATGACGTTTTTTTACTCGCCTATCGGAACTGTCATCAGAAGAAGTATCTTTCTTTACAGTTTTTTTTCTTTTTACCTATAAAGAAAATGTAACAATAAATTATATAATAAAATAAATGTTATTCATGGTTAATAAATAACAACAATACCTTTTACGGGTTCCACCACATTATTCTTCTTAATTTCGCCACAATCCACAATTTTTACCACACCAGAAGGTTTTCCATCACTTGTTCCCAACAACTCAATCTTCTTAATTGTCTCCATTCCCTTTGTTACCTTACCAAAAACACATGTTTCCTGCCATATGATATAACCAGTGAATAAAGCTAGGGTAAATAAAAAGATTATAAAATCAAATACTTTCCCTGCACCATCAAACACTAGATTGCTTTAATATATTGTTCCCAATCAGGGGCAATAACAGCAAAACAAATAAATTGATTTTTGTTTTTTAAATAATAAATTAAATTAGCCTTAATATGAATTGATACATTTAGGGGGAGTTTATTTTTTTTTTTTAATAATAATGATAATACAACAACACTTACAATAATAATAATGCAACAACAAGACAAGACTAGATTCACTGACCTGAAAGACAGTCCTCTCCCCAACAATTGCTCCATTTACAAACTTGGTGTTGTCCCTTTGTGATATTTGCTTGTGCAAATACCATTTGGTCAATACCCTAACAATTCTTTTCTCCATTTAACTCACTTTATCAAGATTTTAAGAAGAGGCAGGCATTAATACGACTAAAATTACAACATTGGCTATCTATGGAGGGTGAAGGATTAACAAGAAATTACTCGACTAAATCTTCAAAAGCTTCCAAGTTTTGTATGAAATTCATGATTGAAACTTGGAGATCCCGAATTTTGATAGCTCTGTTCCAGAGGATTAAGAGAGATACAAGATAGAGAAAGCCCTAAAAGAAATTGTAGAAGATTTCAATTTAATATTGATATGGCGATGTTGGGATGAGAGAGGAGAAAAGAGAGCACAATCGAGATTTATATAGGTAAATGGAAATAATCTCACCTGAACATCGGGAATCACTCTAACTTCAGCATTCGCATTGTCGGTTCCTATTTCAACTTGCTTCAGAAGGTGGTGATGGACTTACGAATAGCGATGAGTGGTTGTCGTGAGGCTGCAGATGTAATGGTGGTAAAGGGGGATTTATGGAGAACAAATGAGAAATCTGTTGGAGAATTGGATGGAACTGAATTCGAAGCCATAATCGCCAAAATCAATGAGTCGTTCAGTAGATGGTGATGAAGAAGAAGACCAATCGGAAGGACCGATGAAAGAAACAACAACTAGGTAGAAGGATGACCAGAAAAAGGCGTGCGAGCATCTTCATGTTTCTTCTCTTTTCGTCTCTGTCTCAGAGGGAGACTAGGGCTTGAAATTTCTTGATCTTAGAATGACACTAGAGTAGAGATCTGATGAGACGATTAACAAGTAAGGTCAGGAGAAAGAAAATGTGTGATGCGAGGGGAAACCGGGTAGAGCAAAGAATAAATTCGGCGATGACAAGCATGTTGTTGCCTTTATGGATGCGAACAACCGGAAAGAGAAGGTGGTGGCGGTCGGAGTACGAGCGAAAGAAGCAGCGGTAGTCGTCGCCGATTACGGAGTTGATCCAACTGTCGATTTCATCAGATGCACTCTGAACTCTTAGAGATGATGGGGTTCGATGGTGGTGGTCGAGGTTAGGGCTTCCAAATGGAAAGGGATAGAGAGTGAAGAGGTAGAGGAAGACGGGTTGCTTCAAAAGGATTGATAGCATCACAATTCTATTAGGGTTCATTGGAGAAGAAGGAGATAAATGGCGGGGTGTTAAATTTTTTGGGATTTCATTTCCCGGCTATTAAAAAAATGAAGAACGCGCCCTTCCTAAAAAAAATATAAAACGACACCCTTAGAAGACGCCCTTTTTTCGTTAGGTGCCCTCCGTGTTTTTCTTTTCTTTTTTTTAGGCACTAGTTTAAGGGCACGCAAAAATACGTGACCTCTATCCTTCAGTTTTTGGAAACCTAACATTATTTTTATGGACACACAAAAATGCGTATTGTAAATCTGCGAGTGTCATTGTTTGCGCGTCATTAAAGGGTATTTTTCATGTAGTGAATTAATTTAAAAGATCAGAATTCAAAATAAAAAGAATCAAATATCCCTTAAATTCCGAAAATTCATTAATTAAGCTTATGTTTCCTAATTTGAAGATAATGAAAATGTACAATATTACCTTTTTTAGTTAAATGACATACATTCTATTTTCTTTAAATTTATAATATTGGTAAATCAATTTCTTAAACTAACCAAAACCATTGGTCCATATTTATCCCTACATCCACATAATAAATGTCATTCACATTATAACCTAACCCTATATATATATATATATATATATATATATATATATATATATATATATATATATATATATATATATATATATATATATATATATATATGAGAAAAGTGAATAGAACCTTTTAAAAGTAGTAGTTTTAAACAAAAGAATCCAATTTCATTTTCTCTTAGTTTTGTTTTGATAGAATACTACTGAATTAAGTTCAATTATGGAATGAAAAAGATCAATTATATATATTTTTATTGCAAATGATTATTGAAGTTTGTTGATAAAATAAAAAACCAATATTTTTTAACGAATATAACTCAAGCGTTTTGTCTTTCAATTGAAAAACTATATCCAATGATTTTGTCATAAGCTTGATTGAGTTATGACATGTTCTTCTTTTATCTTTTATTCTATTAGTTTTCATTTAGAATTTAGTATGTTTGATTAAATTGTCATGACTTTTAATGCTTTAAGTTCTTAGACACAATGAAGAAAAAAAACTTAAATTCGATCGATTTAGTAAGTCACATGATTAAGGAAGAATAGTAAAAGAGATATCATGATTAGTTTGGATATAAATTGATCAAAACTACATTGTTTGAAGGGTTCTATATATAAGATTAGGTACATGATAGCCACATATTCCCTATGCCCTATATATATATATATATATATATATATATATATATATATATATATATATATATATATATATATATATATATATATATATATATATATATATATATATATATATGTGTGTGTGTGTGGGACGGTTCACTTGAGATTAAAAAAAAGTATAGATCTTGAGATTCAACCTCAGCCACCTATTTCTCATTTGCCACTCTAACGCTCAAACGTACCAGTAATAGCAGGGTATGCCTAATCATAAATGATTATATGACATAAAGGTATAATCATATATACTTTTTCTTGTTTATACGTATATGCATAATCATAAATAATTATACATATATGACTTTTCACAAACTAAGTAATCATAAATGAATATGACAATTGGTGGCAGAAGAGGTGGTAGTGGTATAAATGATGAAGGTGACAGTGGTGGGGTCAGCTGGTGTCAGAAATGGTGGTAGTGTGGTGGTGGTGGCGGTTATGGTGGTGGCGATGGTGGTGGAAGAGAAAGGAACGAGCGGCGCTATATGATTATAACAGACTGTCGTATCGGTACGCCGGAGGGTTGGAACGATAGATGTAAAATATATGGTTGAGGTTTAATCTCAAGATCTTTATTTTATTTTTAATTTCAACAGAACATACATCTATCTATCTATCTATCTCTCTCTATATATATATATACACACACACACACACACATTAGGCGAATACCCGCGTGTTGCGCAAAAACATCTATATAGTTGAAATCTTTACAAATATATGTTTTTTTAAATATAACAATAACGTTGTTGTGAAATTTGATATAATAATTCGTATGCTAAGTTGATATTATATATTTATTATTTTGACTTATATGATAATATATACATCTTTTAAAACCGTATATTCTCAATCGTTTAAATGACCTCTATCTGGCGAGTTACTCATGAATAAAATTAAATAAAATATATTGTTTAATGTTATTTATAGTTGTTATTATTAATTAATTTTTTAAAATATATTTGTTTATCGTTTTAATTACTATCATTCCAATTATTTAAAACATCAAACATTGTTTTTTGTTTTTAGAAATAACAATATAATCATTTATATAGATTTATTTTTAAATATTGTTACTGTAAATTATTTTAAATTACTTATTTGAAAACTTTTAATTATTATAAAAATATATTTAGAAAATACTTTAGTTAAATTAAGATTACAGTTTAGTTTTTGCATTTAACACTATAATTTATCACATTTAACTATTCATAAAATATTGTTTGGATTTTTTTAAATGGAACTGAAATTTATATTTAAATTGACCTGTAATGTTATATTTAAATTAATATTTTAAGTATTTTATCCAAACTTTCAAAACTTGTAACTTTAAACTGATAATAATTTACATACAACAACATATTAAATCTAATAAATTAAGTATAATATGTTAAAAGTTAAAGACATAAATTTATAAGTAGAAGTAAATATATTATTTTATTAGTGATTTTTTTATATTTATGATTACACTTTAGATTGGATATTTATTTAACCTTATTAGCCAACTTATAACCATTCTTAGAAAGACACTACAATTAATCACTTTAACTACTTACAAAATATTTTATGAGTTGTTTAAGTTGAACTAAAATTTATATTTAAGTTGACACTGTAGTGTTATACTTAAAATAACAATCTAAGTATTTATTCAAACTAGTTAAAAGTTGTAGCTTTAAAATAATAATGGTTTACATACAACAATATATTAAAACTAATAAATTAAGTATAATATATTAAAAGTTAAATACAACCTTATAAATAGAAATAAATATTATTTTACTATTGAAATTTAGTTTATATATGATAACACTTTAAGTTTGATATTTATTTAACCTTATTAACCAACTTATAATCATTATTATAAAAAGATTGAAAAGTCATAGAAGTTTCAAATGAATTTGGTGAAAAGAAAAATACTTTTTTTATTAACCCTGTAATGTTATATTCAAATTAATAATTTAAGTTTTTTATAAAAATTGTTCCAAAATTATATCTTTAAAATGATAATGGTTTACATCTAACAATATATTAAAACTAATAAATTAAGTATAATATGTTAAAAGTTAAAAAAAAAAAATCACTTAATAAGTAGAAGTACAGATATTATTTTAATATTAAAATTTAGTTTATATATGATTACACTTTAGTTTTGATATTTATTTAACCTTATTAACCAACTTATAATTATTATTATAAACAAAATTGAAAACTTATGGAAATTTCAAATGAACGTGATGAAAGAAAAAAGGATTTCTTTATAATATATATATATATATATATATATATATATATATATATATATATATATATATATATATAGGGTTAGGTTCATTTGAGACCACCTATATTTTATGAGACCGTGAGACGCATTTTTTTATTTATTTTAGTTAATTTATGTTCCGAAAATAATATTTAAAAAAAGAATTTTTTGATTTTTCCATTTATTTTGCATTTTAAAATTATTTATAGAATATGTACAGTGTAATATTCTATTTAGAATATTTCACGTATTTAAAAAAAATAGATTTTTTTTTTATTTTTTTATATTTTTTTTATATTTTTACTTAATTCAAGTTCCGAAAATAATATTTAAAAAAAGAATTTTTAGATTTTTCCATTTATTTTGCATTTTAAAATTATTTTTTAGAATATGTCAGTGTAATATTCTATTTAGAATATTTCATGTATTTTTCAAAAAAAAAAACCGATTTTTTTTTATTTTTTTTATTTTTTTATATTTTTTTATATTTTTTTTAGTTAATTCAAGTTCCGAAAATAATATTTAAAAAAAGAATTTTTGGATTTTTCCATTTATTTTGCATTTTAAAATTATTTTTAGATTTGGTCTCACGGTCTTACAAAATTAGAATGGTTTCAAATGAACCTGAACCTATATATATATATATATATATATATATATATATATATATATATATATATATATATATATATATATATATATATATATATATATATATATAAAAGAACCACACATGCAAGTAAAAAAAATTTAAGACCGAATGTGAATAATATGAAACACATTAAGTCCAATTTATATCTAATAGAGTACATAAAAAAATATATGAGTAAATTGCACGAATGGTCCCTATGGTCTGGGGTAATTCGTACGTTTGGTCCCTAACTTATTTATTTTAACTCGGAAGGTTCATACAGTTTGTTTTTGTTGCACTC